AAAAAATTTATATAAATTGTGCAAGACTTGAAGCGGCAACCATAAATGTTTTAAATGAGGGTTGATAATTTTTTTATTTGTTTAAATTTAATAAATTGAGTAAACCATTATGATTGCAACCAAAATTAAAAAAGAAAACAAAATTAAACATTCTGTATTATATTTTCTTTATAATACAGAATAGGTCACAAGACAAGAATTAACTTAGCTCATTTAAAAATAGTCTTAAATCATTATCATTTTTAACCCTGCCCATCATAATCTCGCCAGTAGATGCGGGGTTGTAAATTCCAACACCCCTTAGGAAAATGATGTATACCTATCGTCTGGTGCCGTCGCAATATTCAGATTAAGAGCCATCAAGTCAGCGAGTTGACGCAGCGCAGTCTGTAGGGTGTAATGCCTCTTCAGACGTAGTGGAGAAGCGATGGAAATTATAACGGGTAACAGTTTTTTAGCTGATAGTAACTAAAAAATCAATGTATAGTTAAAATATATGTACAATCTTTTGAGATTATAAAAAAAACCTAGGGATATTTTATATAAAAATACAAGGGTACTACCACACAAAGCAGTTTATCGTCGGTATATATTAGTACTATCTGTGTCCGTGACTTCCGTCCATGTCAAAGAAATAATTTTACGTCTCAAAATTATTATTTTGCAAAGCTGAGGGGGTTAGCTTTTTGAATTATAGCAGTTACCCACGATGTCGTATTGGGAGTTAGTCTTAAAAGATAGACCTATACTGTTGCAGATTTTTTTTAGATGAGTTAAAGAGGAGTCATTCTATTGTTACACATTGTTTGGTTTCTTGAACCGTATTAGCAGCACACTCAACGGAAACCCTTAAAGATGAATCTTTTTCTTCGCTCCTGTTGGACGCAGCGTGATGCTATATATAGCCTAAAGCCTTCCTCGATAAATTGTCTATCCAACACAAAAATAAATTTTCTATTCGACTCGGTGAGTTCCTAAGATTAGCGCGTTCAAACAAACAAACTTTTAAGCTTTATAGTATTAGTATAGATATGAGAGATCTGTATCGATTCACTTTTATTCAAGTCAACGACGCGACTATCAGACGCGACTTGGGGGTGGCATGCGTCAATAAAAGCCACTGAAACTTATATGCAGGTTTCATGTGAACGACCAGACGAGAATATTAAATTATTTTTAATACGCCTTTAGTGATATATGTAGTTGGTTTGTTGGTATTATTTTATAATAAAAGATGGCGTGACACTTGATGAAATACGTCAACCACATAGAACATCTAAACTATCGCTGTCGACCTATTGGCTTTGGATATTCGGAAAACCATACACTGAATGCGAAATGCGATGAAATTTTACGGATTTTTCATTTATAGGTGGTTAGGGACCCGTAAGGACTTTTGATATTCCTACCCCCCATTTTCAGACGTCTAATTCTTATTAATTGTTGTAAAAATGTATAAACTTTAGCATTAAAAAAATGTTCGATACGTCATTACGTCAGCAATATTGTCACAATTCTGCACCTAGTTGTTATTGCTGTGTCTTTTAACATGTGCCCAACAATTGTCTTTGTTTTAATCCCCCTTGCAGACGAGCTGACTCAGCGGGTTCAATGCCTCGTATTTACTTATATAGGGTTTATTATCCATAAACTATAGTGCTTATACGTTTACCTAGCCTCTAATGGCAGTTGAAATCTTTGCTTTTGCCTGAGACCTGTCGATATAACCAACATACACTGCTGAACTGGTCCGACAAGCTCAAGAGAATGTTATGTATTACTCGATGGAAGGTGATACCCCAGCCATATAACATCCAAACGGGATGCTCTGTCGACCTTTTTTGAGTTTGGATATTCGGAAATCCACAAAAATAATCTGACACTTATAGTTTTCTAGAAACTTCGTAAAATATTCACTATAACTGCATAGTGTACAACGCTAAGATAAGATATTATAATACAACACAAAATATAAATATTACGAATTTATGAGTCGAAAGAAAATAGATCAATCAATCAATACGTAAAATGATAAATGTAATTGGCATTGGAGATTTCCAATTACATATTTTGGAATAAAAGATACGCTTTGATTCCAGGTGTAGCTTTGATATCTTGAAACGCTGCTGGAATTATAATAAGTTCTCTATAATCTCTATAATGTATATCTATATAAATCGTGGGTCTTATCACAGTAATAGACAGACAAGCATGAAGATAATCCAGAAAGGTTTAAAGGGCTTCTTGGTGGAATGATAGCAATTGTAAGGCTAATAATCAACGGGTCGAGGATCGGGGGTATAAATTTTTTTCGAATCAATCTATAACTTTTCTGAATCATGTTGAACTTCATAATTCTTCGAGCAATCGAGGAGTTAACATCTCCTGATGATGGCGAAACGTCGAGAACCTCTTCTCGCTCACGTCGGCCGAACAGCATGAAAGACAATCTGCTATGCTGATCGATCGCCGTGAAATTGTTACACAATTCATGTTGAACTTCGTCTGGAAATCTGATGTTGGATGGCAATTTTCGTCCAGGTTCATCGCGTTTGTATTGCAGTCTTTGGATTTCTGAATATCCAAAGCCAAAGTAGGTCAACAGCGTACCTAGTGTAGATGGTATATTATGTATATGATATGATGGTATATGATGAGGTATTTCACATACCATCAATTGAACATCATGCTTATCTGTCTTCATCTATCTTTAAAAAAAATTGAAACGTAAAAGGCCATAAATCCAAGTAAATCCAGTTTGCATGTTGCCATCAAAATGTTTAGTTCACAATATTCTCCACTGTATTTCTTTACTATTTGTTTAAATACGTACACTATAAGCAATTAAAAACAGTCTGCTCAAAGCAAATTGTTACCATGCATGCTACAAAATCTAGACCCTGTGTTCTTAGTAATACATGCTATTTTCGTGTAACTACACTCTCGCGTGTAATCATTTAGTGTGAAATGGGTTAAGTGAAATTCGTGAGAGTAATTTTGATCGAAATTCAAGATTAAACCTACTTTGAAATGTTCCGTTTAAAAGTTATAATAATTATGTTAAGAACTCTCTGAAGGCTTTGTAATTGAAGAGGACGGCTGGATACTTGTTTCAATAGATTCTATCTAGTACATATTTAGTTTTTATCTTTTCCCTTACTTAATAAGCGCAGCTTTGCGACTACAAAATTGATAAGAAATTTCAATTCCAAATAGATAAACTAGTTGATCGTAAACTATTTAAATACGATTTAAAACTTTAATAACGATTTAAAACGCGAAAACATTAGTTAACTTATTAACAAGTTTACTAATATATTTCGCGTTTTAAACAGTTAAATGTGTTATTATTTAAATATACACTACTAGTGTAAACTATAGACAATAGACGTTTTCTATTATTAAACAATTACAAAAAAAAATATGAAAACATACCTTTAGGCTTAACGTCTTAAATATCTTCAAAATTGGTGCAGTAATTTTGAGATCACCCATAATATGTCGAATATTTTAAACAGGCATAAACAACATTGACTTTTTTCCATACCTTCATATACAAACTTTGACTTAGCCACGCTTTCGGGTCAGAATAGTATTAAGCCCAGGAGGTCGTATAACGTAAATTGGCATATCCCCGTATAATGGAGGTCTGTGACCCCACTCAATTAAATTTGCGAATGCCTCGGACCGTTATGAGCCGTTTTGATACACTACTTAACTCGTCATGTTTTGAAATCGTCTAATGTCGCTTTGACGCCCTCGTTAGCGATTTATGGATAATATCAAATCAATGGGTCGCGGATTCGATTCCAAATATGTCCACAATTAAATAGGTTGTATTAACATCGATTTTTACGGGTCTCATACCGTCTACACGTGGAAGAGCCGTCAAATGTATTGCCGAATGTCTAAAGTCATGATAGGCCAACAGCGCATTTTGTGTTACATATTACACATTTCACGTGAACCCTCACTAGATGAAATGTCTCGAAAATATTACTGTTGTAACAACAGTTAAATAAATTCAAATGTTTGAAATAAAATAAAACTTGGATAACTAGTATATTTCGCATTTTAAACTGTTAAATGTGTTTCATTTATTTGTTTACTGCACGCGTAGACTATAGCTAATACTTAATCTAAAGAAAAGAAAACTTGGCTTTTTCACATTTTTTCCAAGAGCTTCCTATAAAGGAAATGGTGAGAGACCTCTGGCTCATCACTAGGTAATGATTGAATTTATTTGGAGCATAATATAATGTGTTGTGAAGCCTAAAATCGGTGGAAACGGTGCTAGAGCGTTCATAATGGGGTTCTGTATACTGACCTGGATTTTTAGGACTCTACCTCGTATGACCTTAAATTAGTGGAGTAAAAATTTGAGGAAGTAAAAAAGATTTTAATTGATTTCTTTATATAACACACTAGCTGTGTCAGCGACTTCGCCTGCGTAGAATAGTTATTTTGGGCGTCAACATTTCACAAGTCTTCATCTTCATAAATTTAAGTTACCCATGACTTCGATCGCGTCCCGGCTTCTCGCTAGTTATTCTAAAAAGTTAAAAGACATATAGTGTCGCGGACACTTTTTTAGATAATTTCTAGCTTCCTTTTACACATATGTTTTGGGCAGCTTACGCGACAAACCCTACGAAGATTTTTCCCCGGTTTTTTTTTACATTTCCCGCTGTCTCCTCGCTCCTATTAGTCACAGCGCATTGTTTTTTAGCCTACAGCCTTCCTCGATAAATTCTCTAGCCAGCACAAACATGTTTTTCATTCGAACCACTACTTCCTGAAATTAGCTCGTTCAAAATGATAATCATGATCGAAATCTACAAACAAATAAACTCTTCACATTCTATATTAGTATAGATTTCATGACACTTTCTAAACTTCGTAATGATTTTGGATATTCCTCGGTGCGGAAGCAGGGATTAAGCCGCTCGTTCAGATTATAACTTTATCTCTATTTATTTATTATCTACCTCTATTTTCAGGCAAAGCGCCTCAACGGCAACGGTGAACTTGCTGCCATCAAGGTGATCAAACTAGAGCCGGGTGATGACTTCGCCATCATTCAGCAAGAGATCTTGATGATGAAGGACTGTCGTCACCCGAACATCGTCGCGTATTATGGCTCGTATCTGCGTAGAGATAAGCTATGGATTTCTATGGAGTATTGTGGTGGAGGGAGTTTGCAGGTTTATTATTAAGAATTCAATATATAATCATTACAATGCTTTCTCTCCCTTTACAATAAAAAAATGCCACCATATAAGTTATAGTAACTTATATGTTTAGTAAAATTCCCCTTCGCCCCATGGGCCCCATGGTGCATGGGGTTAACACATGTCTGTGTCCGTTTCACCAGTCGGTAGGCAGGCAAGTAGTTGATCAGACTTCTGTGCCCTGCTTGACCTAAACAATCGATTGTTTGTCCGGGATTCAAACCCCTTGCGTTTAATGCAATGCTAGGCAACACGTTTAAACTTTTAGCTACTTAGGCGGTCGGTCAGAGGGAGACACTAATATATGTATGTTATATTGTATATGTTATGTCATAGAAATCTAAATTATATTCATTAAATTCTATATTATAATTATTAACTCTAAATTATATGATATTGATGTGGCTACGGGATCTACTTATGTATGTATAGTTTTGTAAGTAATAATTCTTTCTTTGTTCTAGGATATCTACCACGTGACCGGGCCACTCACAGAAATACAAATCGCTTATATGTGCAGGGAGACCCTTACGGGGCTCTCATATCTGCACAGCATGGGTAAAATGCATAGGTGAGTTCGTAAATAAAATTAAGACTAAGCTCTAAATACTATTTAGGATAATGCCGTGGCCTTTGATACTGCAACATTAAAGAGATACGTCGTTTTTTGAGATTGATATATTTGGACACACACACACACAAGTATATTCGTTTGCTTTTAATGTGTAAGAGAATTATATCTGTCATTAGTTTTTTTATTACAAAAAAAAACTAATATATTATACAATTTTAAAAAAATTTTTAAATCGTTATGAGGTTTATCGATCCTTATCAGTTACTCAAAATACATAGACACCAATAAAATGGTGGAATACCCCAGCCATATAACCTCGCAACAAGATGCGCTTTTGAGTATGTAGGCTTTGGATTCATTTATAAAAAAGTTTTTTAAATCCACCACTTGTCAAATCATGCCGCTGCGTGTAGGAACTTATATTTTCAATACTAGCCTACAAACTCTAATATATATTAGGGAGTAACAGAAATATGTAAGGCTATATGATATATGTTTACAGGGATATAAAAGGTGCGAACATACTGCTGACTGAGTGCGGCGATGTGAAGTTGGCCGATTTCGGGGTATCGGCTCAGATTACAGCTACGATTAATAAGCGGAAATCTTTCATCGGGACTCCGTATTGGATGGCGCCAGAGGTAAATGCTTTCCGTTACTTCTTACTTTGATACACCAAAAAAAGATCTTGTTCAGGTTTTGAGATAAGGTCTATATTTTGTTCTTGACGTATTCACAACCCATCTACAGACTTAAACTTATGGTTTTATTTCAACTGCAAATCATCCGAAACGTCGATTCGTAATTGACACTAATTAATTTAAATATTGCACGTTTTAAACCGATAAAATTTGTTTTAATTAAAAGGATACGACAAAAACCATTAGGCCTTTATTAAATTGGATGATTTAATGATTTCAGGTCGCCGCGGTGGAAAGAAAAGGTGGTTATAATCAACTCTGTGATATTTGGGCTTGTGGTATTACTGCTATTGGTAAGTGCTATTTTTTTCCTAACGCTTAATCAGCTTGATTTGTATCTTCCCAAAATAAAATATTTTTTGTCAGATAATATTGATTGATTGATTGATTGAACACTTTAGTATGTTTCACATAATGGTATAAAATAAATTAAAAATTGATTTTAATTTGATAAAAATACGATAGGGCCGACCTTGAACCAATTGAGCTAACGTGTCAGGAGACACGTACGGGACGCACGACACGGTAGCTCAAGCGATAAGAGTAACAACACGGAACGCTGTGGGTGGTTTAAGTCCCGCCCTTGTCGTTATTTTGTAATGCTCAATCGATTTTCAATTATCTTTTATATAGTCTATCATTTTAAGCAACCCAATCAAAATGTCTTTTGACTTATTTTCAGAATTGGCAGAACTGCAACCTCCGATGTTCGAATTACACCCCATGAGGGTGCTATTTCTAATGTCGAAATCGGGATTCAAACCGCCACAGCTGAAGGATAGAGAACGATGGTCCCAACTCTTCCACGGTTTTCTCAAGTTGGCTCTCACTAAGAACCCTAAGAAACGACCAACCGCTGATAAACTTTTACAAGTAAGTTCCCTGAAACTGTTAGAATTGGTTTCATAAACCTTGTTAACAACGATCCACCGGTGTCAATCCCTAGTGATTTTAACTAAGGTGAACATATGTCCAACTCTTCAAACACCCTGCACATATTGCGGTGGTCCAAGCTGAGATCTATGCCTCCTTACGAGCTAAGTATGCGTATAAAACGATTATGTTTTAACATTTGCTTAACACGTCGATCAAGTCAACATTTATTAAAATACTGTTATTAATAAGTTAGTTGAGTGTTAAAATCTAGATTGAAAATAAAAACTAGACTAACTAGAACAGGTCCACAACTTTCTGTTTTGCTGCTGCAATTGATCGTGTCTCGCGCAATGTAATTTCAACCTCGACACTTTAGTCGAGTTTTTCATTATCATCAGCTCTCCAGAAATTCCCCACTACTGGTATCTAGGTTTAAAACAACAAGTCAAGCTTAAAGTCATAATACAATGTTAAGGTTTATGGATTAGAGGATAAATACCAAGCATAGTTTCCTAACGATATTTATCTTTTTTTGGTTCACATTCGCTTGAACTTCCAAACCTCCTATCAGAAGTGGGATGTATAGATAATTAGGCGACGCCATGAAGTGTAAATATTACTTAAAACCAATTATAATTGTTTCAGCACGCTTTCTTTCAACAAGATATGAATAAGCGCCTCGCCATAGATCTATTACAGAAGTACTCCAATCCACCATCGCATTGCAATAATCAAGAGCTAGATGAAGATGGGGTAAGTGTTTATCCAGGAGTTAACGAACACTTTTTCACATCAACACCGCCCACAGATGGAAAATTGGTTAAGTTTAATCGTGTTTCAATTTCAAACTTCATATATCCGAATTTTCAGAGCCAGTACATCTATATGGCTGCAGTAGTTTTTCTTCCATCAACTGGGACTTCCAACAATGTTTTTGGGTCCTCTAGTAGAAAAGTTATAATTTCCTAAAATGTGGATTAATTATCAAAAAAATCAATTTTATAATGCTTTTGCGGCTATTTTGCAAAGGAATATTCAAGGCGTTGATTGGTCGAAGGTCGAATTATAAATAAAAAGCGTTGCTAAATTACGACGGTTGAACAGCTCGAGCCACAGCTATCAACAAAATTCGAAACATACAGCTTCCTGCATTTAATTTCAATAATAATACTTCTCTTTCAGGCGATATCGAACGTACCACAGCGTATTGCATCTAAGCACACTGGCCGTGGAGGGAGGAGGGTGTTGGCTGACCAACCGGCTAACAATATTAGGCCCAGGAGTCTGATAGATGATGACATCATGACTGCCTCCAGAGTAAGGTCGGTAAAGAATTCGAAAAATTAAAATCGATCACTCTAACGGGCACAGATATATTTCGTTCCATGCCCCAAACAGGGGCAACTGAATTTGACATCAATGGATGGACGCAAGTAGTAAAAAAACATTTATAAAAAACTTTATAACCGTTTAAAACGCGAAATGTATTATAGTTAACTTAAATACTGTGTGCCTAATGTTAAAGTCAAATCTGCTATGCTACTAGCGCCATCTGTTTCCTCGTAGTTGATATATGTAAAAACAAGCTGGCAAATATTGGTCCATAGCTAGTAGCAGCGTAGCAGATTCATTTCAACTACGACCCGACGTTCCATATAATATTGGCCACGGGGGAAAATACATTTAAAATAAGTTAACTAATATAAACTACACTGCAGAACAAATGTCTATAACAATATCTTATTTTAAAGGCTAATGGAAGACAGTCGCGAACGACGCAGCGGCGTATATGACGATTCGCCCATCATCGATTTGGATGCAGATGATGATCTCAGCTTAACTTCAATGCCCAAAGTGATCAACTTCAGTGCTGATCTCAATAATAGCGGCGACACCATCAAACGAAACGGTGAGTCTTTGTCATTATTTATTATAGTCCCAAATACGAGACTAAGTAGAAAACTAAAATTATTAATTTTTTAAAAGCATTATAATATTTAACGGTTTAAAACGCTATATATATAGTTAACTTATTATTAAGTACGACTTTATGTTTCAAATGCAGTCTTGGTCACTAACTTGGTCTCGTTGCACGGCTGCCACGATTTGGAAAATATTTCGCGTTTTAAACCGTTAAAAGTGTCTTAAGTTTTTTTTTGTTCGTGTATTACTTGCGTAAACTCAATACTTAACTTAAAATAATTTTGAAGTTAGTTTTTTGTCCCCGGGATAGTGATAGTGTTCCCAAACAGAAGCCAAAAGTTACTTGCTTGTAAATAAAATTGATCAAAAAATACAGTTTTCTGCGCCTTGCCTGTTGTAGCCATACAGAATATATACTTTTTTTTTATAATTTCAGCGTACCATAGACAAACCAGTGATGAGTGGAGTGTCGCATCCCTAATGACCTGCCCCAAACACAATCCCCTGACTCAAGAACTATCTTCAGATTCTATATCCACCAGCGAAAAGTTAGTACCACATATATTTATATCTGCGTATGCTCAACATAATATTATACATTTCTTGTTTTGTTCATAGCAAGTGGTGTCGGGTGGTCACGGGGGATGATATAATGAGAATGAGTCTGAGGTATTCCAGGTCAAAATTAGTTTTCCCATGAAATTTATACATGTCGAGCGTGGAATTTTGCGTTTTGAATTGGCATTTTTTCATTATTGGGTGTGAAGTGTTTACAAGTTTTTCTAACCGTAAATGGAGCCGTTTAAGTATTACGTAAGCAAATTTATTACGACTTTTGAACCCCACTTCTTCCAAGTTGTTAGCAAAAGTCAAGACCCCCTGGGGGATCATTCTTTTTTATTTTATTACATATAAATATAATATTCACTATTCAAAATAAATTGTTGTTTTAAATAAAAATTGTTCGTCCGAGGGGACACGCGCTTTTAAAGCTTGTAAATAAGAGTTAAATTGCGTATTAAACCGTTGAAAGTGTTTTTAACTAACCTTCAAGACTACAGAAATACTAGCTTCTTTGGTGAATGCTGATAATTACTGCTTATCTGCACCAGCGTAATCACCACATAGATCCCCCCCACTCACCCCCCTTATTACTTACATAATACTTGACGGGCTACAACTATATTCAATCGTATATTGATTGTACTTAGCTTTGATCAATAAAAACATTGCTTTATTGCTTTTGTTTGGATCTTAAGCGAGATTTTGTAATGAGCCTTTGCAGTCCTTCGGACTAACTTTACAAAACTTGTAAATGCTTCTACAATGTATGGTTGTAGTGTTTTGTGAAATAGGATTGGGTGATTTCGTTACAGCATGTTCAACAATAGCTTAATTATTGACCTTCAAAAGAATTTGTATAACTTTCATATATGTATTTTGGTATATACAACTCGGTGAAAAGGTCGAGAGTTAGAAACCGCTTTTATGTGTGTGTATGGCTTTTAATGCTGTATTGTGACTAGTTCGATAGTTGCATAATCAATAAGCAGTACAACTGACATTTAATACAATAAAAACTTTATATATGAAATTAAATAAAAAGAAAGATATACACTTGAAAATGATTGTCTTACTATACTCAAAGCCACAAAAAGCTTCCGCAGATGTTTGTATGTCGTTTCTCTTGTTTTAGGAGCCTCTTGCAATATATTGACGAAGAGTTAATGCTCAGGTAACTGTTGCATGGCAACCAGATTGTTTGTATGTTTGTTTGTAGGGTAGTTTGATTTTGTGTTCCCTTTTGGTTTCGGTGCAAGTTGTATGGCGACAGATAGTAAACAGAATTGAAAGTGGGTAGTCAGAAATAAATATTGCGCATCAGTTTTTCAGCTTAAACTCACAAACTTTACGTTTTTGAGCGACATAGTATCGTGCGACAGAGATGCACTCTAAAAGTCTCGTTGTCTCTTTCTTATGTTTGATGCGCAATATTTTCCTACGGCGCTAAAAATCTTTGTCGTGAAGTGATTATTTGGTTTATTAAATTATTTTATTGATTGCGGATCATGTATTTACCCTTTTTATGTAAAACTGTATTTTATAGCTATTACATTGTATTTGTAGAGCTTTGCTTCATATGATTTTATATTAATGATTTAGATCTTTAATAGCTTAACAGACAACACTAATTTTGTTATTAGCCGTTTTGATTTAAATGAAACATTTTTACGCTATTATAATATTGCAATCATCACTTAAAATATGCTAAATGATATATTTTTAGTTTTACCCCGTTAAAAGTGTTTTATTTAAATTTGTACTTTTCATAAAGACAATGCTATGTAATTAAATTTCAGTGTAATATATGCAGTACGCCGTGCTAGTTTTATTACATTTTCTACGTTTCTAACAGCATTTATTTATTCATTAATTTTATTTTATTTTAAAACAGTTTTTAGTACTAACAGTAACATTTTATTTAGTTAATACATAATCAGTTTGTCTTGCAACACCTATTGAAACGCCTGAATACGTGGCTAACATTATCCCAGCTTCATCTAACAGCACTGCATCCCTCCAACCGCATTCTTACCGTTGTAGTAATAAATAATTATTTACAGGGCAACACTACCACTGACAGCGGACACCGCCGCAATGTCCCAAGCTGGCAACCTCTCGATACACGACCACCATTTGTCCCAGTGCATCCAACTCAAGCAGAACTACCTAAACAATTCCACTACGAACGTCTACCAAAGTCTAACGAGCTTCCAGACTCCCATGGGCACATCGAACGCCCACATACCATCCATAGACGCGTTATGCAGGAAAGACAGTGAAATCATGTACGCGGATCAGCAGGAAACCGATTCGCCACAGATCAATACGAACTGCGAATGCGGCCTTTGCCCGAAACCGGAGTCGAAGGACGTGAACACGTTGAGCGATCTACAACGATCTGTGGCACCAAAATGCTCTTGCGACTCTTGCAATACAAACGGGGATATCCTCAGCTACTATCGCCAGTGTCCAAACCAAAACCAAGATTCGGGAATCATTTATTGCGAGTTATGCAAAAAGCAGAAAATATCCGTATCGAATTTTCGCGCTTTACAAATTGCGAACCGACTCCAGATTTCGGAAACCGGCCAGATGGAGAACGGAGGTTCGGACGACGAGCTGTGTAGAAAGATCGATATAAGCTTAAACATGGATGCGCAAGAGCACAGAAAGAGACACAATAGGCACAATTCGGATTCGGTTACGGCCGGCATTGATCTAAATCAGTTCTGCCAATGTGAATTTGAAGCGAGCAAACGAAAAACGTCGTCTGTCGATGAGATTTTCAAAATGGCGGAGGACGGTAGCAGCAAACAGGAGTTGACGGAGGAGGAGGTAAAAACGAGTCAACGGCAAAGAAGTTTGTCGGATAGTCAAAGGGATAAGGCCAAGGTGGATACAGAAGGTAATACCAAAAATAATTTATGATAAAAATTAAAAATCGAGTAAAGATTTAAACTATTTTGCGGCACGCACTGTAATTTTAACCTTAGTAGCAATTGTTAAGGTTGAAATTATAATGCTGAGAGGTGCAGGTATCAATACGGTAAAAAAATTTGACAATGACAAGTATGGCACGGGAGCGCTCAATGGCTCGGGAGTTTTTGCTGTTCCTTCAAAAAAAATTATATTTAGCTTTAGTGAAACTTTTAAGAGCTTTATTATGTTTGGACAAAATGTTCCTGCAGGATAAATAAAGGAATCTAATACTGTAGTTCCCTATTTGCTAGATACAATATACGTATATTAAACTGATTCGTGTTTACGTTTTCCTTTGTTTATTTCAGGTAATGGTACGCCTCCTGTACCCCCTCGGAGAGCGAGGGGTAGACGAGTTCGAAGCCCCGTTAGACCAGCACCGAACGGTTTACCTCCAACGCCTAAAGTACTTATGGGAGCGTGTTTCTCCAAGGTATAATTCTCTTTAAAATTTCAATAATTATCTTTGATTTTATTTCTTCTGCTATCCTAATTTGGCATTAGATGTTTAAAAAGTTAATGTTCACATGATGCCATTATATAAGGATATTTGTAAAAATTTCAACATATGATGTAAAACATATCTATATCTCACTATAATAGCAATGTTATATTTATCTGAAACGTTTTTAATTTTTTTATAACCAACTAATCTTACACATGTTGCAATAATTTTTTATAAAAAGATTTACCTAAAATGAAACACAAACATCACGAACACGTTTCTGAGTCCGTTGCACTGATCTGTTTTATGAGCAAGACTTCTGTGCCTGATCCGACCGAAACAAATTATTGTTTCTCTGGGATTCGAACCTAGGACCTCTTAAAATTAACGCAATGCTAGGCAACACGTTTAACCTTTTAGCTACATGGCGGTCAAGAACTCTGTTTACTTATGTATTTATTTTGTATACTTTTTTAAATGTTGTTCTTTAGAGTTTCGTTTTGTTTATATCAGGTATTTAATGGTTGCCCTTTGAGGATAAATTGCACCGCATCTTGGATACACCCAGATACAAGGGATCAGCATATTCTAATAGGTAATGAAAAAAAAAACATATTAAATTAAAACCATTTGTAACGGTTTAAAATGCTACATTTATATTTTAACATATTATAACAAAGACCTAAGATTCGGAAGATTCGCAGAAGTTGCGGTCACGGAGGAAAAGGGGGGAAGGGTTTATTTATGTTGTATGTATGGTCGTAGTTAAATATATAAACAATAACGAATATATTTCGCGTTTTCAACCGATAAAAGTGTTATATTTAAATGCAAGCTATAGACAAGGGTTGTGAATTATCTGGATCTTAATTATTATTTTGTGATAAATAGGCGCCGAAGAAGGCATCTACACGTTGAATTTGAACGAACTGCACGAAACTGCGATGGACCAGTTATGTCCGCGGCGCACAATATGGATGCACGTTATTAAAGATGTCCTCATGTCACTCTCTGGTAAGTCGACGATCTGTGCCTGTCACATGTACGCATGCCCAGTAGTAGAACGTGAGTCCCACCGCTGAGCACAGATCGTCAAATAAGTTAGCTTTAAGAGGACACTTTTAGCTTAATACAAAACTTAATTTAAATTAGCTTATATTTCTAATCAGCACCAGGATTTTTATTGGTTTTAGTCCATATTTTAAAATACTAATTTATTAAATAATAATACAGTTAATTCAAATGAGAAATTATTTTATTCTCAACACTTCTGAACTATATAACACGAAACAAGAAAATGTTATAAAAAATGAAAGGATGTTTCACCGTGAGGGCGAACACAATTCCGTGTTAGTTTCATTGATTGGTTTTCTTTACGGGTAAGTAGTTGATCAGACTTTTGTAGCCCAAACGTAACAAAATATTGTTTACCCGGGATTCGACTGCAGGACCGCTAACAGTTAACGTAATACTAGGCAACACATTTAACCATTTAGCTACTGAGTTATTTTTTTCCCTTTCATTTCTTCCTCTTTCTTCTCAACTTTCAAATTTCCATTGAAATCAAAGATTAAACTCAATGAAAATTTACTGTCCATTTTTGGCCTGTAAAACTACTACACAACACTACTTGTTTTGCTGTCCGAAATACTTCTTCCAATCCGGCGCAATTATCCAGTTCAGATCAGACTAATTTTTGTTCAGCCTAGGCAAAATTAGTTTTGTCCCAAAATTTCGTAAAGAGACCATTTACATCCGCTATTTCGCAGGTAAAACGCCGTCACTGTATAGACATGAACTGCTGGCTTTGACGGGAAGTGGTCGGGCCGGAGCCGGTCGTTCACTTCGTGTGCTGCCACCGCGGCTCTTGCCACGGCGGTTCGCACCTTCAACTCGAGTACCTGATACCAGAGGTAAGTCAGAAATCAGAAGAATTGGCAAAATTAACAACATCGCAAGCAGATTGAGAAGAAGCATTTATTTTTGTTTTGCAATGAATCAGACAGCGGACCTTGTTTAGTTGTTGGCTGGGATATAATTTACCTTCCATCAGTTGTCTCCCTTCCTCTGTCACGAAAAAAGGGAAAGGAGATCTTTGAATTCGGCGACTTTAACAATTAAATATAAATGAACTAAACGAACATATTACGCCTTTTAAACAGTTACACGGGTTTAATTAAAATGTGTACTAATCACGTAAAGTACTGACGATTTAAATTATACGCTCTCAACGGGTTAAAACGCAAATACAAACTATTTAACTACAGACAATACTTAACCATAAAGAAAATTTTCTTCGATCAAACAAATAATTCTTAAGGTAGAAATCATTACCCAGTTTTCAAATATACAATTTTTTTAATATACAAAAGTTTTTAAATATCATTATTAGTAATGATTGATAAATACATTAATTTCATCATCTATTTATTTAATAATTATCATCTATTCCTTCTCTTCAGGCTGTACCGTATGCGCAGTCGTACGGAATCCGTACAATGGCTACAAATACTTATGCGGAGCGACGCCGGCTGGACTGTTTTTGATGCAATGGTACGATCCGCTGCGGAAGTTCATGCTGCTCAAGAATATAGAGTGCGTCCTGCCCTCGCCTCTGCTCGCCTTCGAGTTAATCATCACTCCGGAGTTGGAATACCCCCTACTATGCGTAGGAGTGACTCGAAAGCCAATAAGACTTAATCTTATTAATATAAATTCGGGTGAGTGACTACATAAAAAAGTCCTTTGAAAACTAATATTTTTCACATGTTTTTGTACATTACGCATTATTTAATAAAATCCCCTAATTAAGTGCACTATCAATAAATAAGTTTAAATCGTGTGTAAAACAAAAACTTGGAAAGGGTTATTATGACGTTAATCAATATTTAAGCGATACAAATTCTTGGGGTTTGCAGGATCCCGCTCTAACAAGAAAAAAATTGTAGTGCACTTAACCTGTAATTTTTCGATTTGTGTAGGCGCAACGTGGTTCCATTCGGATGAACTGGAAGTGAGGCCGGGCGGGTCTAACACTGTGATACCAAGACCAGAAAGACTTCACACCCTCAGGGCTGTGCACCAGTTGAATAAGGACGCTGTGAGTTAGACACTGTAGTATTTGTTTGAAGTAGCTAGTGAGAGTGCAGAGTGAGGCAGCTGAAAAGCTAAGATAGAGTGGGTCTGGGATCAAGAAGTCAAAGGTCTGAGATCTTCCCAATTTCACCTTGTTTGAAATGGACATAGTTGCTGAGAGGTTCGGAATCGTACACGTGTTCCCAGGTTCTCCCTCTAAACCTACTTAATGAGATGGCATTGTGTTGAGGGGTCCTGGTTGACTAGCGCCTCTCGGTACGGTTGCTAGAAGTGGAACACATAGGGTGTAGTACAATTGACAATAGTTTCGACGACAAAGCTATAAAAAAAGACGGTTTTAACTGGTTTGATTAACGGTTTTATAATTTATTTTATGTTTATTAGGTATACTACTAATTCTAACAATGATAAATTTAGAGTGAAGAAGCAATCAGATTCAAATCAGCAATTAAGTTCAGAAAGTAGTTCTATTCTACGCGATTAATGATTAGCCACAGAAACATTAAAAACATAGAAATAGCCTTGTACAAGTTAGTTGAGATGTTATACTAGACACGAACTAAAGTGATAAAGTCATCAAAGTCAAAGTTAATAATTAGTTATTATTTGCAGGTTCTGGTTTGTCATGAGAACGTAGTGGACATCATACCAGTGCTGCCGGGTTTCGACCCTCGACGGCAAGACGAGAGGAAACGAAATAAGTTACCTCAGCGACTGCAGTTCGACTTCCAAATTGATAGCATACGTATGTACTGTACAGATTTTTTATTTTAATTGGGGACACTGATAGAAGGCCATGTGTTCGGTCTACATTATATGCTAGCAATTTCACCCATTTCCGCATTCCCCCTTTAAGAAGGACATCGGGTTATCTATTTTTACTTATACAAAAAAATAATTTAAAGACAAAAATGTTCTATAAGTATATAATAGCTAAACTATTATATAATTAGTCGTTACTTATCTAGATAAGTAAAGTCATAAAGGGCCCTTTGTGTACAACTACACGGCATCCGAAATGTTATCTCGTAGTAAAAAATAAATTAACATATATTTCGCGTTTTAAACCTTTAAAGTTGTTTTATTCGCACATATGTATTTATAAATGTTGTTGTTATTATTACAGTTTGTCTAGCGGACTCGGTGCTAGCGTTTCACCGAAACGGGATGCAGGGCAGATCGCTACGAAACGCCGAGGTCACCCAAGAAATTGTCGATCACTCACGCGCATACCGATTGGTTGGACATGATAAGTTAGTGACATTTTTATCATTACAATATTAGAACAAGTTAATAGGGGAGATATATTGATGAAACATAATTCAAAAATCTATTTTAAATACATATACCAACTATCGAGGAAGACTTTGGGCTATAAAACATCAGGCGAAGAAATACTGTAAAATGTGGAAAAAAACGGCAAAATTATTCATCTTTGAGGGCTTCCGGTGCTATATATTCGTTATTCATTGTACCAATTTTTTTTACAGAGTGGTGGTTCTAGAATCCCACGTTCTCCAAAATAACACACTGTCTGGCGAGGATGGCAACGACCTTTACATATTAGCTGGACACGAAGCGTCATATTAGTTACCAATATCGCATTCATAGTTATGATCTTATCATTCTGCTGTTTCTTAGATCATCTATATGACTAGGAATAAAGAATTCTTATCATTTGATATTGATAAACCGAGTAAAAATCAAACATACAGTCCTTTCTAGAGAGCTTTGATCTTTGAGCTGTTGAAATCACCGAGATTTCATTTATTATTTTTTTCATCTTATTCGACTTACACACAATTATTCATAACACTGCCATTGTCCATTCCATGGATGAAATTTAAGCAATAATATACGAATATTGATTCCTTTAGTGATTTTTTACAATGTATTGTCTGTATTAATTCATAATAAACGTATGAGCATGGAAAATTCCATATTATGACCGTAACAAATGATTACTCACACTAATAAGAGTATATTTTAATATTCTTAAAGCTTATAATTAAAAAAGTTAGTAAATAATGGAATGTTAGAATATAGCTACCAGCTATGTTTGTCATTTCTCTAAACGTTACAAATCATGTATATCCGTTATTTTGAAATAACGTCACTGTGATTTTAAATAACATGCGACGGCATTTTAAAGTATTTATGTGATTAATCTTTCATTTAATCCTAACATTATGAAAAGACATGAAAACTTGTTTTGGTTCACTTTTATTCAAGTCCAAAAATCAAAGCATTCTATGAAATTTGATTGTTGTGTGTATATAAAAACACGGTTATAAAAGTGATCCAAAATAAGGGATATCGTTATTTTATTAATATAGTCTATAGTAATGAAAGTATAAAAATGCTAATTTTGTAAATATATAAAATTCCAATTAGTTTTAGTCAATTGTATTATAGAATAGCGTACAACAACACAAGCCTGTTGTGCAAATCTAATAGTTGAACAGTCGAAGTGGGTAGTTTTAGCATTTTTGCACAACGGTCTTGTATTTAATATCATTATGTAACCTCGAGCTAGCGCAAGCCCGAAATGGACTGTTTATTTATTTACTTGTGTCGTACTTTTTAATTGCATGTTGAAGATGGGCTGTAGTTATATGACAAGTAAAATATTGAATTGTGCAGTTATCATTCAAGATGATGTCATTAAATTTAGGCGAATTACTAAGGACATGTAATTAAATTACATCAAATACATCGCAATGAAACTCTGGAAGGATCCTTTTATATTTGTATTTGTTTATTTGTCAAGAGTTTGAGGAAATCGAAATGTTTTTATTATTATCATATATGTTTACTATTGGCAAATTTGAACACCATAAAATCTAGACAAAATACATAAATGATTTTATTTATCATATGACTAACAGCATATCTTATGTGAGATTATCTCTCTGGTTGTACTTTAGCACACATCGCACTTTTTTTATAAAAAAGTTTTATATACCACATTTATGAAAATACAATTAGCGTGTTTGACGACTAGTAGTACATATATATTTTTGCTTTTTAACTCATAGCCAGGCAAAGTAGTACCTAACCTGTAAAAAAGCCAGGATAATGTTACCAGTAATATTTGTGTGGGACATTTCCACCTCCCTAAAGATTTAGTGTAAAGTCATTGATGTGGTATATTTTTCGTTCCCAATATAATGTAATTCTTTAACCAGTTTATTTACTCCTGTAATAAAATTTTTATTTCTATTCTCTTAGTTTTCTTTTTTACAGCTTTTCGTTCATTGCTCACATATTAAGCTTTTACATGCTACACAGAAGGCTCATTTATATAATGAATTTTAGAGTAATTTTTGTCAAAAATAGTTCACTTGAAATAGCAAAATAGCTTGTAGTTTCCCAAAAGAATTTTAACCCGTAATGGTGCTAATTTCAAATATTTTAATTATATTTTTTTTTATTGAAGTTGTCAGAATTTGGGTTAGTTAAAGATATAGAACAAATGTATTCTGTATTGTATGTTAAAAATATAGAGCTACCGTGTGTGTTAGCTTGTTTGCATGCCATTTTGGATGGATATTTTATTGACTAACCCAAATATTCTTGTCCCTTTGATTCTCATGCTTAATACTTCTGATATTGCCAAAATTCACTTCCGGCAAGTGGACTGAAAATTGGCTGTTAATCCGTTTTCTAATAAGGTAGGTTACCTATTGATGTAGCTTTTCGATTTCAAAGGTTTTAATAGATGTAGGGTTTTGAAATTATTAGATTTAGGAACGAAAACACCAACCTTATGATACAAAATATAAGAATGATAATTATTAAACATTGATTCTATATCTATTATAGTTACATTTGGTTTTATGATTACCCTCGATTTGATGAAATCTAGTTAGATGCAGTAATTAGGTTTTAATAAACCAACGCTAGTTGAAGTACAAAATAAAAGGAGGAATTTTAAAGGAACAATTATGTACATATATATTATGAAATGCTCAATTGAAAGGGCTGTCTGTCTGTACACTGCATTCATTAAGTTGTAAAACATAAAGATGGTTTCCTGGACTATGGCATCCCTTTTTAAGTATTCTCATATTTGAAACAAACTATGTAATTGTATTTCCCAAACTAGACAGAGGAGTGTAGATTAGCTTTAGAATATAATATTTTGTGCTTCAAGCTCTTCATAAGTACAAACATATATGCTTCTTGGGTTTTCAAGCACTTTAGATATTGCAATTGTTGAATGCTTTACATCATATTGGATAGCTTGAAAATCAAAGGGGCATTGGAAAATGGCTATGAAAGCTGTATACAGTTTATAACAAATAAAAAGTTTTAACAATAAGCAGTAAGGGTATTATAAAAACACAGTTTGAAGTGCTTTTAAATCCAACATCTCTACATTAAAACATATGTAATAGCTGTTTCTTCAATTTAAGTAACTAAGGTTTATAAAATATTTTGTTCCTGTTATGAGGGTAATCAATAATTTTGTAAATATAATGTACTATAAAATTAAATTTATTCAAAATTATATCTGACAAATTTTATTCAGCAAATAAAATAAATAAATGGATCTTATACTTTTATTTACCTTACGAAACAAATACGCCCAATTGTATCAGTTTTAATGACAACCATGACAACCACACAGTGGAGTTTATTAAATCACTTAATGAATTATCTTGATGTTAAATCCTGAAATAATTATTTTAACGGTCTCCCGTAAACAATGTTATCACATAGGTCTCCAACACAACACAAATTGTTTTAATTGTCTTCCTCTACGATTTCTACATCTTCGTCATCTTTTTTCTTTCCAGCAGACTTCTTCGCAGAGGCCGCTAATTTGTACTGCTCGAGGGCTTCACGTAGTGGCTCCACAAATCTCTCAAATTCAATATCTGCCATCGCCTCTAACACATCCTGACCCGTTAGAGCTTTCCTTTTATGATGTTTCACTGTGTTTGTTGCTGCAGAGGTAACGTACAGAACGAAAACAGATGCAGCTTTGGCTAAACCGGTTCGCGCCTCTTTGGAAATTGCAACTCCATCTGGCAAAGCTTCTTTAACTATCCGTCCGACGACTGTCAGTGGTAAATTGAGATCTTCTAGTTTTTCTGCCATATTTTAAGAACCGTTCTAAAAAGAGTATTGTATAAATTTCACTATAATATACACTTCACGAGACCCACTTTGAATATACAAGTCGTCGCGCCTCAGCCCTCTTAGCTCGTTATGTCACTCTTATGTCAAAACTGTCAATGTGTCAAATATTGTTAATATTACTTACCTTATCTGTTATCGTTGTTCGAAGATGCAGAGTGGAATGCTATCCTCGATATAGTTTTTTCAGCAAAATTGTCGAGTGTCAGTATAGAGCGTTACATTATTATTTTTGGCTGTTGTTTTTTAATTAATTTTCTGGTCTGGTCTGCATCTAAAGAATCTTTTTTTTTATTTACAAGTCGATGCATAAAGTATTCGTCTAAAATAGTCGTCTAGTAGCCACAGAATTAAAATTATCAAAGTTCTGTGGTAGTGATAATGTCATGTTAGGAAGTTGCAAGGTACTATACGATAGTTGCATTTTGATTACTAAAGTGGCAGGTAGTCACTATTCGCCGATCTATCGATTCTCTCGTTAAATTGTGTTATTGCAGTGTTCAATTAAATACATGTTGAATTTGGCACCGGAGTAAAAAACATTTCGTATTTAGGCGGTTTCCTTTGACTGTATTTCAATGTGGTCTTACCAAATCCACCCTATAGCTTGTATTGATTCAATAAAGTTGCTGCATGATCGTGTTTGAATTTGAAAATAAAGGTAAATATTGGTTTTATTGAATAGTATTTATTTAATACTTTTATTTTTAAGCCTATATAATACACTGCCTATTAAAACAGTTTAGTGTGGAAGCTGAAGGTAGGTGCAATGTTTTTATGTTTACATAAAATGCATACAATATTGATAAGAAATGTTTCTTAAAAGCAATGGATATAAAATATTTTCCTTTTATTATTATTCGTCAGTCAAGTGTGAAGAGTGAAGCGAATTATGTGAGTTTTTTAACAATATAGAAATATATTAATAGACCACGAGATTAACAAAATTATGTACAAAATAAAATAGAAAAGTACAGTTTTTTGTGCTAATAAAATATGTGTAAACAACCCATGTTTCGCTATTTAAAGATGCTGTTTCTTTAACGTGCTATTTATAATTTCAAAATATAGGTACAATGAGACGACTAGGATTTAAGTACACCATCATTCTATAGGAATAATTTTAGAAAATATGTAAAAACATTTAACCACTCGTCTCGCTTAAAAATTATTATCAATAATACGCCATTAAAAGAAGGCCACCGAAATCAAAGGCGACAAACACTTTACGACCTATTATAGCAACCTACTGAATTAATCAACAATTAGACTTATATACTGGAAGGTAAGGTTTTATATTCTTCACAACAGCGACTATGAATTGAAGTTAGATGTCAATGAACTAGCACTGGTCAATACGGGGTTTTGAATCCGCAACCCCCGTGTAAATGTAGGTTAATAGGTCGATGTAACCATTCTCGTTTCTTTTTTCATAGATCTTACCCTTAGCAAGAATTACGTGTTAAAAATATATATAATGTTATTACGTATTCGTGTCACGAATACACAAATTTACCTTGACAAAGGTTAAAATTACGTCATTAAAATAATTATACTGTCCATTTAAAGTCCCTTCACTTGCGATGGCTAAAACAATTTTATTCGCGCACATACTATAAAAAGAAGTCATACTTCTACTTTTAATTAAATTGCGAAAACATCACATATACATTGCAAGTAATCGAAATATGTTAAAACTTAAATACTGTCTGTAATTTACCCAAGTACACATTTAATTAAAACACTTTAACGATATTATTTAAACTTATTTGAAAATTATTTTAACTATAGGCCCGATCTTTCAGATGCTTTGCAGCAGCCGCGATCGCGGGAACCACGCGTCTCCCCATGACAGACGCATTTTAAAGCATCTAAGTATATTATTTAAATGGTAAAATTTGCATCAGTGTTAGGCATACTCTTCCAAACAAATTGACTAATTTCATTTATGTTTAAATAATATTGTGAAATCCCGTTTCCCCCTCGTGGGGTATGGGGTGGTGAACACATTTCCGTGTCCGTTTCACTGATCCGTTCTATAACAGGCAAGTAGTTGATCAGACTTCTGTGCCCTGCCTGACCGAAACATTTTTTTATTTTTCTGGGATTCGAACCCGCGCATAACGCAATGCTAGGCAATACGTTGGACCGTTTGGCTACAGAGGCCGTCTTAAATAATATTATGTACCCCAAAATAGGTAACGGAAAACTATATCTTTCTGTAATATGTACGTAGTACAACAGTGTCTTATAATTCACCATATCGATCGTTGTATTAAAAACTAAAAATCAATTATAATCAACTCTAATTAGATGGTACAATTCTTCATGGTCTAGAGACTCTTCGAGGATGACTACTTGGTATTACGTCTTCAGAACGGCCATTTAATATAATAACACGTTTCGGCCATGACCTTGTGTGACCGACTTGTTTGTCATGCTTTTTAAAGTACCAATAAATTTCATTATGGTTCTTGTTTTTATGTAACCGTTCTGTATGTAGCCATGTTTGTATGCTCGGGAGGACTTTCAAATTAGTCCCAATGGATTGTTTGTGGATATTAGTACAAAAGATAATTAATTTGTTATACTGTCGTGTTTACCATCCTTAATTGATGTTCAATTTCTTTTAACATCAATTAAATGTCTAATCATTTATTTATATTCCGTTACCATAAACCTTAAAATATTTTTTTCTCACTCTTAATTACAATTATTTAAACACCTTATAACGGTTTAAAACGCGATACATATTAGTAAATTTATTTGAAAACGTTGGGTCGTAGTTAAAATAATTTTCAAACAAGTTAAGTATGTAATATCTATATTGTGTTTTAAACAGTTTTTTTTAATATCATAAAAAAAATTTGGTGCACAATCAGATATCGCACCCGGTACTTCCAGATACTCAGCTTCATTATTATCTAAGTAATCCGTGAGTGATCAGGAGTCAGTAAAAATACATTCGCCAATTTCGGATACAATGATTATGCAATAACCATGGGGAAAATATTGTATGATAAATAGTGGAAAAACATTAACTCAACGGCCCATAGACTATGGTCGTGTGAACAGTTCTGCGATAAGAACCAGTTGTGGTGAAGGACGTGGCTGTAACCCTGCGACATTGACAACTGCGAGTGTACACTAGCGTTTTTTAAGCGTCTGCAATTATCAGAAAATTGATTACGACAAAGGTCCAGTGGACATGACTGCGTGAACTGTGAAAAACTTAACCATTAATTGGAACGATGCTTTGTGGAGTTTTTCGGTTTAGGAAAGCAATTCATAGGATCTGCATTTTGAACATAATAGTAATAATAAAACAATTGTTAAAATGCGATATATATTAATTAAACTTATTTGAAAATTATTTTCAACTTCGGCCCGACGTTTCGGATGCTTTGCGGCAGCCGTGGTCACGGGGAGGTTAAAGATGGAGGACGTCAAAGTAAAAATTTAAAAATTATGTTTATTGAAAAACACTTAACGATTTAAAATCGATATTTGTTAAACTAGAAACTTATGCTTCAGCCGTTTACGGGGAAACGGCTGCTGATATATTAAGTTAAAAATCATTTTCAAATAGTTTAACGAATATATCACGTTTTAAACCGTTAAAGTGTTTTATTTAAATGTGTACTACTCGCGTAAACTATAGTCAGTATTTAAGTATTTATTTTCATATCTATCAACAACTAGATAAAAACAATCTGGAAAGGTTAATCGTTAAATAAATATTAAGAGGAAGACAATTAATTTGTTCGGTTCCATCCTGGTGCTCTTCTACTCAGACTTTTAGGCGCCCTGGCACTATGCCCTCAGTTGATGTATCGGTTATACAGCTCGTGAAGACTAACCTTTACAAAACAAAATCTCGTTTACATTTTGATGGTGCTATTATGTATGGAACTTTGTACTGCGTTCCCATTATCGTTGGTATTACGTAAATATTGTTTTAACATTAATAGAGTACCTACTGTTGGTTTTGCGGAATACAACCAGCAAATTAAATTCTTTTAATTTTGTCAATTGGACGGGCCTGTTTGTCTAACGGTAGCAGTGTATGGCTAATAATCAAAAGGTCATGGGTTCGACCTTCACCGGGGTCAAGATATTTTTTTATTAATTTACAATATTTCTGTTGGAATTCGTCTGGACATCTAGATATTAAATGGTCCACTAACGTCTACAAATGAAGTTTAATCGCGTTTCGGATTCCGTCTGTGAATTGTCGAATATCCAAAGGGAAAGTAAGTAATATTATATTATATGGCTGGGGTATTTCTCCCATCTAGTAAAACCTACGCTTGTCTGGTTTCCTATATTATAAAACTAAGATATAACTTTTTCTAATTACTTTTCTCTATGATAACAAAGTGTCAAATGATTCAAGTAATATTTATAAGTACGCCGACCCGTAGTAGAGTAACATGCTTGGTGTTCTCTCATACAAGTTAGGGGGTTTTATTCTTGACCCGCTACCCTCTCTTAAGGGAGAAGACTCATCCAGCCATGGGAATTGTATTAGGTGGAACAAATTATAATTTGCCGAAACGAAATATCGTTTAAGGTCAATTGCTAACATAATTTTTATGATATAAATGTAACTTACAAATTTGCTAATGTAATTTCGAGGTTAGACCACTTATACCTAAGGGTAACATCAAATATAATGATGTCTCGTATCGATCTACTCGAGTGAAGGACACAAAATTAAATACTATTATTAAAACATATATTTACGGTTTAACATTTCACTAAGTTTCCATTTTCACCACGGTCGCTTAGAGGAGAGAGAGAGAGAGCTATTTAGCTATAAACCCGCCTTATTTTATTAATTTTTCAACCCCTATCAACCCTTTTTGGCATTAAAAAGTCTAGCCTATGTCCTTTCTTAGGCTCTGTAATATCTGCGTACCAAATTTCATTTAAATCAGTTCAGAAGTTTCGGAGTTAAA